CCAAGCCTAACTGAAAAAAAAAAAAAAACATGTAAATATTGCTTTTTATATGTAAGTGTAATATAATTTAATAAAAAGTGAAACATGCTAGATTACTCAATGTTTCCTATTTGTTCTTTATCCTATTTTATCCCACCCCATCAAATGTATGTATGTATGTATGTATGTATATATATATATATATATATATATATATATATATATATATATATATATATATATATATATATATATAATGTGTGTACACACACAAACACAGTAAACTCAAAAGTTAGGTTGCAATTGAAAAGAACAGCTCTTCTTGAACAGCAACTGGAGGATATTTGTGTAACATTCTATCATAATTAGACCAATAATATTTTCAAATGATATATTGTCGAATACAAAAATATTAATTCATTTACTGAATAAATATTAAAATTACATACTTTTTCAATGGTAGTGCAACTTTTAGATTTTTCCTTATCTATCTACATATATAGTGTATTGGGGCAGCAGAGCATTACTCAAACATATATTGTTAAATATAACAGACAACAAATGTCTATTATGTTTTATCGTGAGCCATTCTAAGTTTCATATAGCAGCTTTAGTTTCAGGAGAAAATAAAGACAAAAACTGTCCAACATTTGGATATTTTTTTATTATGCTGCTCCTCAATCTAAGCTTTTGGCTCACATGAGCCATCATCAGTGTGGTTATATGGACATTTCAACAAAGGTGTTCACTATTAAAGATGACATTGTGTTATGTTTACATAGAATATTGCCTTGTGACAATAATGGTCACAGAAAAGCAGATGCAGGTTGTAAATTTGTAATGCAGTTCTATGATGTCATACATTACCTCATGAGAGAAATGTTATCAACAGAACTAAAGCCACTATACAAAGCTTAGAATGGCTCATGATCAAATATAATAGATATTTGTTGTTTGTTATATTTATTAGACTGTTACATATCTACACACACACACACAAACATATATATATATATATATATATATATATATATATATATATATATATATATGTCACACACTATGAAATGGACTAAGTCCAACAATTATTTTAATATACATTATTGTTATACATTATTTATATAGACACAAATATTTAAGTAAATGCTCTGTTTATAATAAACAGTATTAATTACATTTACTGGCCTGATTGTCCAAGAAATTTCATCGAAAATATGCGTCATCTGACAGAAATCAAACCTGTATCCTACTCAGAACTGTCATATATCCTGACGTGCTATACTAGTTTAACTATGAAGGAGCATCTGGTTAGTAAGGTCGATTTTACTGCTTTTAAACTACAAATTTCCCATGATTTCCTTCAAATGTCCATATCTGCTCAAAGTGTATCTTAACATAAAATTAAAAAGCAGTAAAATCAAATGTTGTTAATACTATTTATTATAATCAGAGCATTTACTTAAATATTTGTGTCTATATAAATAATGTATAACAATTAAATATTATATATGTGTGTGTGTGTGGCAAGCTGTTCGTTTTCTGAGCATGCCACATCAGCTAGGATGGCTAGTCAGTATCTGTTGCAGACACCTGCACAGGCACATTTATGTTTGTTCAGCATCCACAATACTGCAACTATGCTGAGTGGATTTTAGTTACAGTTTCTGTGAGAGAACAAATACTCTGGCATGATGAGCAGTTTGAACAATACTGGTATGTTCAAATCATGGGTCATGTTGACTTGTCACCTTGTGCTAGCACAACCGCCAGCAGTGTCCAAATGTTTTCATCTATTGAATTTAACTTGCAAGGCTTCAGTCAACCCATGGCATGTTTTTCAGACACTTTCCAAAGGTGCCACACGCTGGGATTGCCTTCCCAGATTGATAACATCAAAAAGTGAAGTGACCTTCATGACAAATTGACTCTGGTAAAATTCAAACCGGGGTTTCATGGTCAGAAAGTGAACATTCTAAACATTCAGCCATCCACACACACACACACACACACACACATTTTGAGGTGTGATTTTGTTCTGTCTTGATAACCCAATTCGTAAAGCATTGTTGGTTACTCTTTAAGGTTGGGGGTCTGCCTTTTGGTTTATTTTCCCTTTTCTTGTAAAGATTTTCTTGATTTCTGGCCTGAATATTCAGGAAATCTTATTAAAGAAAAATATGCCCTGCCTGGCAGGATTCGAATTTGCATCCCCTTGGTCAGAAGGGATCATCATTTACTATGCTTTAACTGACTCGGCTACAAAGAAATTTTGCCGATCAATCAAGACTGAATAGTGCCTATAAGCCTGGGGGGGATGCAGGTTTGAATCTTGTTGGAGAGAGCATGTTTTACTTTTATAAAATTTCTCAAGCATTTAGGCTGGTAGAAGAAAATAAGTTAATATACTGTTTAATAAATAAACGGTGTATCTACTCAAATATGAGTATCCACTAAAAATCACATTTAAAGTGATTTTATATATATATATTGTATGTATGTATGTATGTATATATATATATATATATATATATATATATATATATATATACACACACACACATACACTTCCATAGATGCAAAAGGAGCTAAATTAATTGAGTAATATTGTTTTGAATTTTGATGGTATTTAAGTTTATGGTTACTTGATTAATCCTCCCTCCTAATACTGCTGATGTTGTAAGAAAACTTTATATTTGAAACAACAGTTATTAAATTTGTCAGTTTTCTTTGATTAATGATAATGTCCATTTCACACTAATATTTCCATGACCTTTAACTGTGTTATTTATTTTACTTTGCTTTTAAATTTCCCCACCAGCAGCAATCCAGTGTCAACGTCTTTTTTATAGAAAATTTAGCCGATATATTTTGTGCATGACAAAGCAATAGACATTGGCTTATATGCACATGCATACATCTTTTAGAATTTCCTGTAATTTATAGGGAATGCATTTATAGATGTAGGCAGTGTATATAGCAGTCAATACTGCATTTTGACTATCAATTTCATAATCCAATGTTATCTTCAGACTTTAAGTGTGAGACTGACAGTCACTATACAGTGTATATTCCTATGTAAACTCTCTCTCATTCATTCATTCATTCATATATATATATATGTATATATATATATATAGTGTGTGTGTGAAAAACAACAGTAATAGTTCATCACTGATGAGTTGGTAGAACCATGGAACTTCAAGCAGCACTTTGAACGTAGGTATATGTATATTTATTAATATATGCTTCTTAGTGCTGTCTAGGCACATTGACCACTGTTTGTTTACACCTTATATTAAATTAAGCAAATATTTATTCGTTTACCTGTGTATTCATGCTAACACACGTATATACAGTTGCTAATATCTAATTATTTAGTTTATATCCACATTTATACCTACCTTTTATTTATATATATATATATATATATATATATATATATATGAGAGAGATTTTATAAACATAAGTAAAAATGTTAGTTTTAAAATTAAAAATGGTCATGACTATGCTCCAAGCTAACTGAAAGTCGAGGTAAAATATGACTTAATTAACCTTTATATTTATGAGTGTTTTTTTAAATGTTTAAATTCTAAATAAAGGCAAAAGGAAAATTTATTCATATTGTTCTTTTACAGATATTATTTTACACAAGCCTCTCTCTCTCTCTCTCTTTTATATATATATATATATATATATATATATATATATATATATATATATATATATGCACTGTTACATTAGAACATGTAAATGTAACTGAGCATAATAAATAAATATTTATTGCTCTACTTTTGTATTGAGCCCTGTTTTAAATTAATGTTTTGAATGCGCAAATTTTACTCTTCATTCTTTTACATTTGGAGATATATAGTTGTGAGTTCAGTCCTTACTTGGTGCTCTCTCATTGTTGCCTTGTGCCACACTAAATTAAATATCAGTATTAATTATTTAATTGTCTCACTTTGCATTTATTAAAGTTATTTAAACATGTGTATGTCTACACAGTTTTTCTAATGATTTTCACTGGATGTCAAGTCTCTTCAAACGGCCAGTATCTTCCTTATTGTTCCATTGTTTCTTCCTTTTCAAATTCATCTTTTACTTTTGCCACTTATATCCTTGGGACAATTCCAAGTATGCTAATTGTTATGCACTATCTCAGTTCTCTTTTATATTTTCCTCTCGTCTAGTGACACAGACACATTTACAATGTAGCAGGCTTTCTTTTCCTTGTTCACAGCCATCAGATTTTTTTTTCTCAAATTTATATAAAGTACTTGTGTATTGGCATTATCTGAAGTAATTAGAACATCTTTATTTATTTATTTATTTTTTACCTCATGAGATGGTTAAAGAGCTCTGGGAAATCACTTTCAATTGGTTTTGAGTACTTTCACTGCAAGTGGTGAATCTCCTTATCTCAAATATCAAACATTTACCTCTAGATAATTGTTAATTTTCACCTCGAATTTTGACATTAAGGTATTTGTTAATTTTGTCGATATAATGCTCAAGGACTGTATTTTTTATGTCTGTATATAACCTCTAAGTAGGTGAAAATGTTCATTTTTAACTGGTGGTAGAATTAGGCTTTCCTTAAAATGTGCTAACTCAAAGCATTTAAAAAAAAAAAAAAAAAAAATTCTCATTGATTTGCATGATTATGTATAGTTGTCATTCATGTTGAATGGAGGGAGGGGGATGGTTGAATGTTTCAAGGGAGATAATTATTAAATGCTAATTATAGATTATCCTTTATTGACATATTTGCATATGAGTAAAATAACTGAATGAAAAAAAAAAGAAAAGAAGCTCCCTTTTTGCACATTATCCACAGAAAGCTGTATAATAAACGAGGAAAGAAATTCAATAAATCTTTTTTTTTTTTTTTTCATCCTAATTTTCTCTTGAAGCGTTGTCTTGTGATCTTTAACAAGAATGATGATAAATAAATAAACATTTCTATATGCACTGTTATTCTTCTTGTCTTCAACAGCTAAGTTCATAAATGGAGTGGCTTACTGCCATATCACATTGAAACACCTGTTCTCATACGATCACCAAAGGTAAATGACATCAAGTCTGGTCAGTACCTAGATAGGTGACTGCTTAGGAATACCAGGTGTTGTAAGCTTGGATGTTCTGGTGTTTTAATGGCTAACTGGTCGGGATTGGATATCAGAAAGCTGAGGTCCAATTCCAGTCTGGTTTGTTATATTCACTTACACTCAAAATCCCTTGGGAAAGGTATGAATTCACATCTTCTCCCCCCCAGCTATAGGTTAATTAGTATGACTTGTATCAGTAAATCATTATTATCTACAAAAAAAATTCTTACATTTTAAAAATATTTTCTGGCCTTAAATAACCTGCAAAAGTTTGATAAGCTATAAAAAAACTGATTTAAATAATTCATAAACAGTGTAATCTATGCATATAATATACCACATGTGTAACTTTTGTCTGTTATATCTGTAACTTTTTTGCATTATAGAACTATCTACTTTGTATTGGCATCTCTAGATGGCAGTGTCTTTTCTATGACAATGGCAGATTGAACATTTTTAGAATCTACCAATTAAAAAAAGAAAACATCTAAGAGCAGAAGTACAATTGTAATAATTGAAAAAAAGAATTATGCTGTTATTTTTGATGGCATAGATTATAAATTATAGTCATTTTAGTTGTTTTATTTCAGTTGGAAATTTGTAAAGGAACAGGCTGAAAATGAATGTAAAATTATGGGGATTTTTGACCATTGGCTATTTTCAAATAATGAAAATTGCGACTTAGATCCCAAATTTAATCTTGTTAAAAAAAAAAAAAAAAATGTAATTTTTATAGCAAATTATTAAAGAGCATTAATAGTGATTTTCTAATGTGGTACAAGGCTGAAAGTGTGGAGCACCCTGTGAGGATCGAACTCACTACTCAGTGATAATTGTTCTAGCAATTCAAGCATGCTAACCTTTACACCATGTAAAGGTGCTCACCTTTCTTTAAGTTATATGGCCTGTTTTGAAAATAAAATTTTCCGCACATCAGACAGATCCCATTATCTATTTTTAAATACATGTAAAGACATTTCTTCTGACAAAAGATCTTGATCAAATAGAAAACTAAATACCTTTGAATTCTGCACTAAGTTTTGCCCTTTGACCTTGGCATTAATAAAATAAAATGAAAATCCCTTTTCTTAATGTCCACATTGATTTCAATGACCAGAATTTTATTCAACATTCTACAAAACCTACTGGTATTAACTTTCAGCTTCCTTGACTATCAATGTGAATATCCTTACGCTTTTTTTTTTTCTTTTTAACAATGATGTTCACCCTGTACAAGACCCAAGAAACACTTGAGGTAGAGGATTACAGACTAAGAGATACAGTTTATATGGATATGTGGAAGTGATAATGGCTAACTCTAGATTTGAACAGGTTAAGATTGTAGTTGTTGGGGAAGCATCCTTTTGGGAGTCAGTTCCACAAAGCAGCAGTTTGTGGGAAGAAAGCTCCTTGAGTAGAATTTGCATCTCACAAATGGTATATGAAGCCAATGAAGGTGGTTCGCTACAATGTGCACATATCATGGTAGATCTTAGCCGTGAAGGTTAGAATTGGTAGAACTAAAGAATGTAGTTTGTCTGAACACTTTCCATGGAAATAGTGATAGAGCAACAACAGGCTTGTGACATTTTGTCTGTGGGAAAGAGGTTGAGGGTGGAAAATAATTTGTCACCCACAAGTCTGTAGATACATTTGGACTCTATCAAGTCTGGAAAGTGAAGACTGTGCAGCTCCTGCCCATATATAACAGTAGTATTCCATTTTCGGCTTGATCTGTTTCTTGTAAAGATAGAGGAAAGCTGGAGGAGTCGGGTACTTACTAGAGTGGTACAGGGAACCGATTATTTTTTTCAGCATCTTTAGTGATACATTGTATGTGCGAGTTTCACTTAAGGTCTGAATCAAGTTTGGTGAATTGGTGAAAGTTCTGGGTTTGATCAGCAATAATGAAATATCACTAGTTTGATTTTTTTTTTTTTTTTTTTTTTAACTTTCCTGGTACAAGGTAGTCCTAAAAACAATATTAACATTGCCATATCATGTCTCCTCTTCTAAAATAATTTTGTCTAAGATTTTTGTTGATGATACAAGAGATCTCAGCCACTCTAATTGCAAAAAAAAAAATTCAAAATCTTGGAAGCCTTTTTACATTAAAAGAAAAAAAAATCCATTGTTAATTAAATTTCTTTCAATCTAGGTGCTCACTTATAAAAATGCCTTTAAGCTGCAAAGTTATATTTTCCATGTGATGTTAAATTCCATTTCATAGTAGGAACATGTAAATGTAAATTCATTTTACTCATGAAACTGGCATCAAGACAAACACCTTAATGGTTATTTCTGGGCTTGAATTCTCTTTTCTATAAAAATGACCAATGATTTGTCAGTCAAAAGTACTCGGATCTTGACATTTAATTTCAACGTTTCCTCGTAAATTTCCACTTAAAATAAAGCAACAAATTCCAGGAGAAACTCCTCAACAGTTTCCATGAAGTCTCTTCTATTTAATATAATGCATAAGAGATATATATTGTCATCCACAAACACTCTTTTGCTGTATCACAGCTCATCAGTGTGGCTAGACGTCCGGTTGCCTCTAGCTAGGATCGAAACCTGACTGAATTGGCGCCAGTTGGAGATTCTACCACTAAGCTGTTGGTGCACGGCAGGGATGAGGGTGAATTTAAGTGTATTTTTAGATAAACACACAGTGACTGAGAGAACTCGATTCAATTTACCAAAGTCTTGCATTATTAGCTGTAATAATCACTGTTTACAAACCCACACTTCCTCCCCAGAGCTCAACTAAAATAAATTTTTCAGGAGCATATATATTGTCATTCACAGACAGACTGTTTCGCTGTATCACAGCTCATCAGTGTGGCTAGACGTCCAGTTGCCTTTAGCTAGGATTGAAACCCAACTGAATTGGCATCAGTCGGGCATTCTACCACAAGTTCGACAATTATTTTAATATATATTCTGCTTATATGTTCTTTTTATAGATACAAATATTTAAGTAAAGGCTCTGTTTATAATAAACAGTATTAACAACATTTACCGGCCTGAATGTCCAAGAAATTTCATAGTAAATATGTGCCCTTCGACAGGAATCAAACCTGTATCCTACAAGGAATTGTCATATAGCCTGATATGTTTAAAAACAGTAATATGACTTTGTTAACCTCTCTAGCTAAATGGTATAATGTCAGGCTATATGATGGTTCCGTATAGGATACATGTTTGATTCCTGAAACTGAAAAATAGTCTTGCTAATATATATTGTCCATCTCTTTTTAGTGATAATTCTATGTAATTTATTAACCTTGATTTAGCTCTTTTGAGCAAGGTTCGAAACTGGTTAGCTAGATCATTTTTCAGTTTTACTTTTTATCTATTATCATCATGAGTGGTAATAAACATAAATTTTGTCTTTTCATGGCGGTCATATATATATATATATATATATATATATATATATATATATATTATATTTGTTTGATAGATGTGAGTTTGTACAAACTCACATCTATCCAACCAAATATGTTAGCTCTATCTCTGAAATTTGAGCACTTTAGATTGAGCACATATATATATAAATAATTATACATATATATATTTATTTATATTTATATACACTTTTCACATATATATATATATATATATATATATATTTATATTCATATACCAAAAGAAAAGCTTTCTCCTGATGATGGCCATGAACCCTGAAACTAGTCGAGGAATCTAAATGAAATAATAAGTGGTGAAAGAATATTAATATACAACCCATGTGTGTGTCTTAATTTTAACTTTTATTTTTTTTATTCAAAATATATATATATATATTTATATATATATATAGATGAGAGAGATATCCAAAGATAAAACAGATCCAGAACCCTGTTGGGTAAAAATAACTATTACATGGAATCTTAACGTGGTCTGTTTTTTATTCAAATATATATATATGAGAGAGAGAGAATAAAGATAAAACAGATCCATGGGTATGTAATCTGAGTGGATTCTAGTATAAAAATATTAAAACTGATCCACAAAAGTGACCACAATGTATTTTTATTTATACAGAACAACATGAATGAATAATTAAAAAAAACTATTTTTACCTTATGTGGGGAATAGAGTATTCTGGAAGACGATGAAAGTGGTAAATTATTATAATTATTACTTCAAGCATTATTATAGTAGATACTTTGTATTCCCCTACAAAGTGGAATGCAAATTTGATGTCTGCCAGGGAATGTATTTTTCTCTTAAGATATCTTGAGTGCACAGGCTGGTAGGCACAATACACGCTATTTAATACATTAAAAAAAGAAAGTATGTGTCTATTTCAATTATGAAGTGTACATTATAATAACATTTAAATTTCTATATATGGGATTGTGCCAGATGAGTATAATGGGCATGGTGTAATAACTTGCTTTGATATAGGAAGAAATTATGGGAGAATGTTTCTTCTTAATTCATGGTCATTCATTCTTTTAACAAGGTTCCAGTTGAGAGATCTTAGGGAGTAATGAATTCATGCCTTTCCTAACATGCTTCCTGTAAAATAAACCTAAGCAGTTTCATCCGAATTTTAAATTTCATTGGCTTCATTTTCTTCTCCTTGGCAATAAATATTAAAGCCAGTTCATACACTGAAATCAAGTCACACTTATTGATTGAAGATATTGATTCAACAAGAAAATGTTTAATATTTGTGTGTGCTGTGGCTGGAATAAATTCAGGTTCCTGAAAATGCAAAAATCTAACTTTTGAACCCTACTGCCTCTCTGCCACTGTTTGTCTGAATTTTCTTGAACAGGCTTATCCCCCCACCACCACCACCTTCCCCTTTCAAACTCTATACTATAATTTTTAAACTGTTTCCTAATAGAATTTATTACAGGAAACTTATTTTTCTTTATTTTGAGTAACTCTTCAAAAAAAAAAAAATTTCCTTACTCTTTTTCCTTCTCAGAGAATAATTTTTGCTATTTTTTTTTTTTTTTTTTTTTTTTTTTTAACATTTTTGACTATTTTACTCCATCACCTTCAAG